TATATATATATATATATATATATATATATATATATATATTCTGATCTGGGATGTAAGGTGGGGAACTTGGTTAATAAGAACGTTATGGTCAACTCAATTGATTAATAGTTAGAATTAAATTTCTTTTGCTAGCCAAAATAAAGACAGATGATACAACAAAATACTTGGCTGAAAGTCATATAGGATTTCATCAAAACTGTAATTACTGCAAAGTTTAGGCAGTAAATAGAAAGTGGTAAGCTTGGGCCCAGTCATCCATCGAAACAGTATTTATCAACCCTTTAAAAATCCTCTCAAGGGAGAAAAAATATATATACACTCTCTTTTAAGAATCACCATGTACATTGAGGGTCTACAGTTTACATATCACACAAGCCAAAAAAAATATTAATAATTTAATAATTATAATATTCATTTGGTGCTTAGTTTATATCAGGAAGTATACTAAGTACTATACTTTGAATATGTCATTTAATTATCTCAACTTTCTTATGCACTAGAAAATAATATATTTTCTATATTTTATGTATGGAAAACAGATTAAATTCCTTCTTGTCACAAAAGCCAAGACTTTGACTTTTAGTAATTTACATTAGAAAGGCAGTAAGAATCTTTTGTTAACCCCAAATTATATTTTAATGTTTAATATGTTTTTAAGACTCAGATTTCCTCTCAGGAGTATGATAATATTCCTTTCCCCACTCCAACCAAATTTTATATCTCTGCCTTAAAATGTAACATAACATAGTCAAAATGGCTCTCTGTTAACCACATGCTAAGATTTTTTTCAAGAAAAAATACAGCCAGTAGCATATGGTTGCAGCAGTTAGGTAATCAGGAAATTCCTCAATAAGCCAAAATGCCATGCTACCATTTTATCTTATCACAAAGATTAATTCTGCTCCATAATAGAGGTTCAGGCTGAAGAAGAAGGAAAAGAATGAAGGGGAAATATCCATACTCTTCATAGAGACCACAGATAGGAATGGTCTGGTATAATCTATATAATCCTGGGATTGGTTCTATGTAAAATCCAAGGCCAGAATTTCTCATCTCACTGAGATAGAATTGAAAGCTTCTCTTTATCTAGCAAGTCCAGAAATCAAAAGGTATGGAGAGCAGTGAACATCTACATATCAATTCATCTGTGACCCTTGGCCTTGCCATCCCCACCTGTGTTAGTTAGTTTTCTATTACTATAACAAATGCCTGAGATAATTATCTTATAAAGAGAAAAGTTTATAGTTTTAGAGGTTTCAGTCCATAATCAAATGACCCCATTGCTTCTGGGCCTGTGGAGAGGTAGCACATCATCATGGTGAGGAGTGTACAGTGGAACAAAGCCGCTCACTTCATGGTTTGCCAGGAAGCAAAAGAGAGAGAAAGCAGAAGGGATGAGGTCTCACTACCCCTTCAAGAAGATGCCCCCAATGACTGGAAGACCTCCCATTAGACCCCACTTTAATTTTCTACAACTTCTCAACAGCACCAAGCTAGGCACTATAACTTTAACACATGGGTTTTTGGGGGACACTTCAGGTCCAAACTATAACACCACCAGCAACAGAGCAGAATTCAGGAGGCCTGAGCCTCAGTCCCAGACCTAGGACCACATGTTGGTGTCCCACCACATTTTTACAACCCTTGAGACAAGAATGCAAGAATGTGGAGAATTCGCCATGATAAACTGCACTATTATGGTGTGGTTAAAGATTTTATATTCATAGAAAGAGTCAAAATTCCAACTAATATGCTGTAGCCTTTGTAGTACAGATCATTATCTTTGCTGCCTAGCATAATAAATATCATGTCAATTAGTTACCAAATTCAGAAAAATAATATTGAGAACTTTAGTCATTAACACTGCTGAACTCTGACCCCTTTACTTTTGCAGCTTCCTTTGTATAGTGCCAAATGTTGGGGGCCTTCACCACTTAACATATAAAGTTCTAAGTGATGCTAGTGATTTATTCCCCTTTTTAAAAACAGTATAATCTAAAGAATAAGTATTCATGTGAATTATTTTTTTCTATTTTCCATTTTTAAGCACCAATAATAAACCAAGCTTTCTTTGTGTACTTTATTTTTGCTCAGCATCTGGACAAAATATTTAAACACAGAGAACTGCAGCAGAAGCTGGTGGATGCAAAACTTGAGCAGGCACAAGAAATGATGAAGGAAGCAGAGGAGCAACATAAACGAGAAAAGGAATATGTACTTATCCTTTTAGTCGGTGTGCATATCTGGTCTACCTTGATGTCTGAGACTTTCTAGGAAAGTTGTTTTGATAATGGTCAAAGAGCTCTAGACTGATGAAGAGCCTGGGCTTCGATGGAGAACTAAATGGGTTAGCCCAGTAAGAGGCACTATAACTGCATTATTATTCACATGAACTAGTCACTCAACAAATACTCAGCAAATATTTTTCAAGTGCCTATTATCTGCTGAGCATAATATTAGGTGCTGAGATATAGCTGTGAACAAGACAGACAAGGGCCATCTCCCATCATGCAGATTAGAGTCTGACTGGGATAAGACATGCAGTAAACAAGAAAATGAACAAGGAAGGGTAATTTCAGATAATAGTAAGTACTATTAGGAAAATAAGGAGGAAAGGAGAGGGGTGAAAAGAGGGGGCCTACTTTAGACTGGGTTATCAGGAAGAGGCACCAGATGCTTGAGTCAAGCCCAGCCTGGTAGAAGCCACCACATGGAATAATCTCCAGCAACAGTGTCTGCAGCATTAACAAGACCCTACTGCTGGAACCAGCCTCGCATACCCCAGAAATAGGAAAAGGTCAGGGAAGCAAGAGAATGTTGAATAAGTGGGAGAAAGGTTGGAAATGAAGTTGCAGAGATAAACAAGGGTCAAATTGTGTAGTTTTGTACAGCTTGGAAAATATATAATGGGCCAGTACATGGTGGTTTTAGCAAAGGAAGTGACATGGTCTGCTTTCATCTGCAAATAATTAATTTGGCTCCTGGGTAGAAAATGAACTAGAGAGGAGTAAGAAAGCACCTAAATGAGATACATGATGACTTAGATTAGGGAGGAAGCAGCCAAGAGGAAGAATGGAAATGGATAAAAGTTGTTTCAATGAAAAATAAACAGTCAATGCTGCTGACCTGAAGATCATGACAATGAGATATGGGGAGAGTCAAAGATAACTCCATAATTTGAAGTTGAAAAACTGAATGGTGGTGTTTACTGATCTTAGTAACCCCAAGTATTCCCCAAAAGCTGTAAGATCATTCTACAGATGAGAGAATTGAATCTCAAAGAGAATATGCAACTTGTTAAGGGCACATGCTGCTAAGTGACAAAGATATGTTTCAAATTAACCTGCAGCTGTCCCAAAAAGCCTAAGTCTCTGTAACAGTGTATCATAGTCAGAGATGTTTCAAATGTATGAATTAAAGCATGTATCATTGTGGGGGAAAGAAGGAAGTTTAAGATAATTCATTTTGTTAGAATGGTAATTTTTAAATAACTTCAATTATCAAACATGACCAAAAATGATAAATTTTGAAGAACATAACCTTGTGGTCATTGGATAATTCAAATCAGAAATCCATATTCTCTTAAGAGTGATAAGGCTTCTGATTATGTAAACCCCCAGAAGGCAGGATTTAGAACAACAGCTCCAACTTCTGTTTCTTAAAATGTAATCCATGGACTACCAATATCCAAACCATGTTGGGTATTTGCTGTAGTACAGATTAGAGTCACAGACTCATATTCTCTGAGAAAGAATACCCCTTTCACATGTTCTCTAGGACATTTGGATGCATGTTACAAGCTCTCCAGGGACAAAGACCAAGTATATATTTCATACTGGATCATGCATGCTGTAGTGGGATACAGGGTCCAGGAAAATTACTCTCAGTTTATACAAAGGAACAGTTACTGGCAACAATGCCCAGGTGGGGCGGTTCTGGAGATTCTCAAGCAGAGATTAGTAATGGTTGGAAAGGATTGTTAGAAAAGCTTCCAGAATTTGAGGGGAGGCTGAATTTTTTTGTGATTCATGCTTGAGTTAGACCCCCCCCCTTTTTTTTTATTAAAACCACTAGTTTTTAATTGAAAAACAATCTCTCTAGCATGTTCTTTTAGCTTTCTTAGATTTTTTACAAAGTTCCAAAAACATGAAAGAGTTAATAAGACAGAAATTAAATTTTATATACAAATTACAGTTAAAGGATAATTTTAAAATTCTTTCTTCTCACAGTTACTGAACCAGGCAGCGGAGTGGAAACTTCAGGCCAAAGTGCTGAAGGAACAAGAGACAGTGCTACAGGCTCAGGTGAAGTACATGCATTGGGTGTCCTCTCCTTGCTGGTCCCAAGAGACTGGGACCAAAGGTAGTCTGCAGAACACTTCACAAATACAGGAGACTGAGGGACAAGAGTTGGAAATGAATACCCTCTTCACATTTATTGTTTTTAGTAAAAATAAAAGTATAGGATTATGTTTATGAAAAAGAAATTCTCTGTACCAATAATGTCCAGATAAAACAGTTACACAGACAAAGGATGATGGTCAAATGTTCACTCAAAGGAAGCTGATGCCCAAGTTCCCACCCATAAGTGCACATTTCTTCTCTCTTTCCTTCCCTATTATCCAAAAAAGGTAAAAAGAAAATGTGAACTTTTCAGATGCACCATTCATAACTGTCAATTCTTAAAATGTTCTCATCTTTTGATGTTATTTATAATACAAGGAAAATGAGATAAATAGAGTGGGCACTCAAGTTTCTGTCAGGGATGGCTTTGTCAGTGGTGAATGATAAGCAGTGACAAGCAAGTTAGGAGCCATTTGGATTTGCCTCCTGGTGCCATTCGTGTTTTGATTAGACCACTGGAATTCCTATTTCAGGCTCAAAAATAAAGCCTCCCATCACAGCTGCCTCTGGAGGAAAGCCAGGCCTGTCCATCTTCCCTGTTACCTTTGGGGTTCTGCCCCTCCTGCAAATATTTCCTGTCAGGTTCCAGAACCATCCTGCTATTAGGCACAGAAGGGCTTCAGCTCTGCTGCTGGGAGAAATGCCCGATGCTAAAAGGACTATGAGATCACAGAACAAATTCAGAGGGTGAGAAAATCAGAAGCCTTACATGTTAGGCAGTATTAATTTAAGATTCGTACATGTTTATGTGCTGACTATAAAATGCTCATTCATTATAAAAAGAAAACTTATTCATTGCATGAATAAACAAGTCTGATGAATACTTTGTCACTGTGAAAGAAAAAGAAACTTAAAATAACAAATTATACCACTTCGTAGACAAAAATACAATAATATTTTCATATCTAGTCTTTCTAAAGTGTCTTCTACATATATATCTATGTACAGAGAAGACAATAAGGAATTGTTTTACCCAGTATGATCTATTCTCTGAAATATATAAGAATGGTTTAAAATATTAATTACATACAAGTTGGGAACATCATGTTTCTGACTTTAATAGAATCCAAGGGCCCGGTATTACAAACTTAAGATCATCCTTGAGGCAATGACAGAACCTATAAGATCACATGGTGTAACCGAGAGATGGCAGCAGTGGCAGGTCTCTAACCAGGAGGAAGGAAGTGTGACCTTAATGTCTAGTGATGGGGAATCCCAGAGAATAGAATCAGTACTTCTTCTCTATCACTGCCTCATTCACAGCACAGAGTATAAGAGGAACAGTGAACAATATTTGAAGCTATATATTGTACACATCACCTACTACATGTAATCCCTACTCTTCTCTGCTAAATGAATATAAGGAACTTTAGAAGAGTAGATTAAATTCTGGATTCTGGGTTAGAGAATGATTCATTCAACTGGCACCAGTAGTTAGATTTTCAATGAGTGCAGTAAAAATAGATAGGTGCAATCCAAGTTTCCTAACCACACAACCACAAACTTGAAAAAGCATCCATCAGAGGTTCTAGATTTGCCATTGTCCCTCAGTCCTGGACTGAGTCCAGGCACCACAGTCAGAGTCCTGGCTCTTCTACAGAGAAGCTGCATGACACTATGCAACTCACCTAAACCTCTCTGGATCTAAATTTTCTTCTATGTAACATAAAGATACCATAATGAGTATGTGATCTGTAACTGAAGTCCTCTGACCTCTGAGAGCTCATTACTTTTTAGTATTTCCAAAATAATAGCACATGAAACAGCAGCTATAGACTAAAATGTAATTGGTTTAGACATCATATCAGCTCTTGCTCTGTAACTGTGGATGGCAATAATTCATATATTTAAGTTTTTAACAGAAAAACAAATTAGTAGATATACAGATATAAGTACTTAGTAGATATAAGCAGCTTGTTATCAAATTATGTATACAAAACAGTTCAGTGACTGGTCCATAATAAGCATGATTAATTCAACTAATATTTATTAAGCATCTCTAAATGCTGATCATGGTTCTAGGTGTTGGTAACATAGTTTGTGATCAATAAGACAGATGAAAATCTCTGCCTAACCAAACTCATAATCTAGTGATAATAATGCTAATAAAATGCTAATTTTTGATTAGCACATGAGCCAGTATGTTTTATCAGAGGTAGGAGTATATGTATATGGAAATATATAAGACATAAGGAGTCTTCAGTTAAAAAAAAAAAGAACCACTCAACTGATCTCAAGACCCTGTTCAGCTCCAGTTCATGAATGTAAAGAACTTCCAGAAATGAAGAAGTATGGCCCTAGGTAAAGTTAACCCTGCCTTCTATGATGCCCAGATTCCCACAGTGCAGGCAGCCTTGTTTGTTACAAGGACTCTCTTCTGTCTTTCTCTTTTGTCTCCAAAGCATATTCAAACTTTCAATAATTACCTAAACACCAAGAAGAAAATAAAGGCACCTAAATCACTGTGTATAATAATGTTTAAACAAGTCATCAAGAAGTATCAACATTATCATTTTAAAAATTTTTGGTGGGTGCAGTTGTACAACTGTACAGCTGTAGTCTCAACTACTCAGGAAGCTGACAGGAGAATCACTTGGACTGAGGCAAGAGGATCATTTGTGGCAAGCCTGTTGGATATAGAAAGATCCCATCTCAAAATAAATAAATCTTTTTTTAAAATTATAGTTGTAGATGGACAGCATACCTTTATTTTATTTGCTTATTTTTGTATGCGGTACTGAGGATTGAACCCAGTGCCTCACATGTGCTAGGCAAGTGCTGTGCCACTGAGCCACAGCTCAGCCCCTCAAAATAAATAAATCTTTAAAAACAAACTCTACTACAAATGATTCTGCATAGCACTCAAGCACTTCCTTTGGTTTTATACTCTCCTTAGAGGTATGAGAGTACAAGAGGCCAAGGCCTTCATCCCCATTTCTAACATCTGAGCAAGAGAAATAACAAGGATGGATTATGTTGTTTTCCTAGACTAAAGTCACTTTTCAGTCATGAGACAACAGCTGGCCAGCGGGGAGCATGATTCTCACTTAGGGAAGAGATTTCTGGCTTTCACTTACACAAACCAAAGCAACAGAGAAACTGTCAGAGATGATCAATGGGATACAATTGTCACTATAAATGAAGTGTTCATTAGATCAATAAAGACAAAGGCAGAGAGTAAGTTGGCAATATCTGGCAGAACAGACACAAAATATATCACCTGAGGGGGAAAGATTAGTGAGTAAATTGTTAAAAATGTATAATCATAATCTTTAAAATTCCCTTATCTATATAGAATAAGAAAAGGGCTGGGCTGGGGTTGTAGCTCAGCAACAGAGTGCTTGCCTAGCATGTGTGAGGCACTGGGTTCGATCCTCAGCACCACCTAAATATAAAACAAATAAAATAAAAGCATTCTGTCCATCTACAACTAAAAAAAAAAAAAAAAAAAAGAAAGAAAAGAAAAAGAAAAAGGAAAAAAAAAAAAAAAGAGGGCACTCTGAAATTCCTCTTATAATAGGCCTTCCTCACATAGAAGATCTCACAGGTTTGGTAAGGCCATTCCTGGGTACAGTTCTATTTCCTACACTATAAGAATGTTTGTAATTACAATTCAGTGCTCAGTTAAAAGAATGTGTGAGTCCCCTGGCCCATTTAAAAGTGAAATATTGAGGCAATTATTGTTACTTCTAACTGTAGAGCGGTTTGTTTTTATTTTCTCTGGCAGGAAAAGTACTGCATATGACCTCTGGACGTCCTTTCCATGTTTTTCTGAAATCCCAGAGTGAGAGCAGGAACACCATAAATCAAACTAAACATGCATCATGTCAGTATAATAGTCAGAGGGAAAATGTATCAGATAAGTATCTATTAAGGAAATAGAAAGTACAAATTTTTAGTTAGTATATAAGAAGATAATGCTAAAGCTCTTCACCTGAGAAATATATAATCCACAAAGGTTTTGCTACCTGTAACAAAGAGGTCAAATAGGAAAAAAAGTACCGTATTATAAAGACTTGTCACTGGAAGGAGGAAATGAAGAGTTATTCAATGAGTATGAGATTTCTATTTTGAAAAAAGAAGTTCTGGAGACGGGTTGTACAACAATGAGAACGTACTTAACACCACTGAACTATACATTTAAAAATGGTTAGGATGGTAAATTTTATGTTACATGTTATTTTTTTTACCATAAATTATTTTTAAGAAAAAACAAAACAAAAACCATAACTAGGAGAAGCTCAGAAAGTGGTGATAAGTAAGATACTCTTCTTGGCACTCTGGGTATGTCCACCTTCATGTCACAAGCCAACACTAAGAAAACACAAGATAAGGAAGGAGCATCTGCCCAATTAACACATCATAAAGAACATTCTGGATGGTTGGTTGGTTGATTTGTTTTCCCTTAGAGCCTTTACTTTGAGACTATGGATGGAAAAAAAGTCTTACAAGTACACATGGAAAAAGTAAAGCATGATTATAGTTAAGTGAAGACAGTCTAACCAAAACTTTAATACCTGTCAGCTAATGTTAAGGGTGATGTTCTGGGTGTGTTATTTTTGACAATTGTGTCAAGGTTGTATGTAGCAGTTGGACCATGATATGCTCACTCCTGCCCTTGCCTGTCTGTAGCCTGCAATTACAGCAAGACCTGCTCAGAGTTCTCAACCATAGTTTCAGAGACTCCCATGTAGTAATAAGTAGAGGAAAGTAAGAAAAATATGTTAATAGGAGGGTATTGTCCAATAATGCAAATGAATAGACTTTGTAATAAAAGATAACCAGGATCCACTAGAATACATTGTTCTCACTATATACCACGGGATAAAGTGCATTGTAGGTAGCCAGACCCACAAGAGCTTACCCTAGGGTATAGTGTTTCAAACTAAGAACCTGTCTGACCATTCTGGGCCTTCAAATCCATTCAGTGAATACCAGCCAGTATTTTGAAAAAATGAAACACAACTAAAGAGAATATGTCAGAGTATACTGCATGTTATAAGAGTAAATATCTTATGCAAGGCATCTTCTTGGCCATAAATTCCTTTTATTTCATGGCTCTTCACTCAGTCTTCTATAATGTATAAGCCAAGGAATCAAAATAAACAAATTTTAGTCCTGTCATAGATTCATAGGGCTAATGGATGATTTCAGAATAATGGTTGCTTGACTTATTTTTTTTTAATTTGTATCCTGTGGAAAGGATTTATTAACATTTTGTTGTTGTTTACTGCACTGAAACCTATATTACTCTGAATTATTTGTGAATAACGCATCTTAGATAAGCAATTTTCTGGACTCTCGGGGTTGTTTGACTCACACACACACACTCCACCCAACACCACCTTCAAGACAGAATTCTCCAGTCTGCTGCCTTTGGATGTGTGTGCTCTTCCCCACTTTAAATGAAAATCTCACAGATACCACCAGCTGGTCACCTGGTGCCTTTCTTTTGGTCAACAACCTTGCCATTCTGGCCATCAAGTGCAGCCCAAGACATTTGGTGCCATTTGAGAACCTGGGGATGTTCTGGACACTCAAGAGTACTAAATTTGAAAATAAAGGCTTTGCTAACTTGAATCATCCATACTAAATCTCTCTTCATTCAAAGCATGCTATCTTAATATTGTTTTCAAAAGCAACATTTTTAGTATTTCATTATTATCACTAACAACCAAGTATTTACACTCTTCTTCCCTGTGCTGCCCCATTCCCATCCCAAATGTAGGTCTTGAAATTAAGGGTGTAAAGATATAATAGCTCTCCTCACTATCCCTACTGTGGATCACACACTCAGGAATGCTACATGATGCTTTTGGGCAAATTAAGGGGAAAAAAATCCCTTCTTTAAGATGCATTACTTCTATTGTAGAAAAGTGGCATATAAACTTATTTGGATGGAAAGGGACATTTTTAACTGCTATTGGCTAGACATCATAGTGTTGTATATTCAGAAATATGCAAATACATAAGGACTACTGCCATTATGCAGGTTGTGGATAACTGTTAAGAAACTGCCATTTGTATAAAATATATATTTATTTATGTGTGTGTGAGTATGTGTGTGTATATATGTGTGTATATATTTATTTATTTATTTACTTATGTAAATAAAATAAAATTATTTTATTTACATAAGTAAATATATAAATAAATATATCTGAATATACAAAACTATGATGTCTAAAACAGAAATGGCAGTTTCTTTTTTTTTAAAGAGAGAGAATTTTTTTAATATTTATTTTATAGTTTTTTGGGGGTTTTTTTTGGCAGACACAACATCTTTATTTGTACGTGGTGCTGAGGATCGAACCCAGGGCTGCTTGCATGCCAGGCGAGCGCGCTACTGCTTGAGCCACATCCCCAGCCCAGAAATGGCAGTTTCTTAACAGTTATCCACAACCTACATAATGGCAGTAGTCCTTGTTCATGTCCCATCATATTTCCTTTTACTCTTATTTTCATTTGTCTACATTCTCCCTGCTTTAAGATCACCATCTCCACAAACACATGGCTTACAAGATAACCTGCCACAAATCTCTGATCACCTACTGACTCGACAGTTAGTCATGCTATCTTTAAGAATGAATTTCCTTTAGGAGTACATATGCCTCAAAAGCAGAATCTACATGTTAAACACTTCTGTACATATGATCCATGCATATGTTTGGGGCTCAATATATGTTTGGTAGTAAAAGTTACGATATCATGAAATAGTGACAACATATTTTATTTCATTTTTCTTTAAAGAAACTCTGCAGTCATGCTCACTGACCTAGATTGATTTTGTAGTAAATAACTGAACATATGACTAATGCTGAATTGAGAATTCCTTTAAGTCATTTTTCTTCTCAAATAATGAACAATGACATGTTTTTTTATACTGCAAACATTTAAAAAGCAGCCCTGAAATAGATGCACTCTTTTCCTTGTTTACAGCTTACTCTCTACTCTGGAAGGTTTGAAGAGTTCCAGAGCACACTTACAAAAAGCAATGAAGTGTTCGCCACTTTTAAGCAGGAAATGGATAAAGTGAGTATTATTTATCATCCATGAAATATTGACAGTTTCTATTTTGACAGGCAATTCTTCTTTGGGTTCATTTTTCTCCTGCTAAGATATTTCAGTGCATTTCATGAAGTAATGAAATGTTTATATAAGTAGGAATGAAGTTTGGGCTTTTTTGTGTGTGTTTGTGTAGTAATATCTGGGGAATTAATCTTTGTAAGAGTCCAAAAATGCTAAGATACATTTATTCTGAGGAACAGTATTTATTTTTCTTTAGTATTAGCTTAAAACAAAAACAAAAGCATAACAACACAACAAAAAAGACAATCTCCAACACTATGTTGTGTGTGTGTGTGTATTAGAATGTTAGAGCAGAAAATACTATTTATTGATATTCTTAGAAGGAGAGATATGTACTATGATAGAGGAAGAGCCATGAATGAGAAGACAGAAACCTGAATTAAAATTCTAGGTCTGTTAAATTTCCTGAATTTCATTTTTCTTATAAATTGAGATGTTATATTCATTACCAAAATCACGATATTGTGATGATCAAATACATTAATGTATTTTAAAAAGTGTTTAAACTTTTTGAGAGTCTATTACAAATATAAGGTATGGTTTTAGTCAGCTTTTTCCACTGCTATGACCAAAAGACATGACAAGAACAATTTTAGGGAAGGAAACATTGATTTGGTGCTCACAATTTAGAGATCTCAATCCATAGATGGCCAACTTCATTCTTTGGGGTCTGAAGTAAGTCAGAGTATCATGGCAGAAGAGTATATTGGAAGAAAGAAACTCCGGACATGAAACCAAGAAGCAGAGAGAGTGTTTCACTCACCAAGAACAAAATATACAACACAAAGGCAATCCCCTAATAACCTACCTCCTCTAACTACACCATAGCTGCCCATAGTTACAACCCAGTTAATTCCTAACAAGTGCTTAATTCACTGATTAGGTTGAGACACTTATAATCCAATAAATGTACCTCAAACTTTCTTGCATTGTCTCACACATGAACTTTTGGAGGATACCTCACAGTTAAACCATAACAGTTACTAATATTATTATTGGATATAATGTTTAAATCTTGGTCAAGTCAGTATTTTCCCAATATAAAATCAGTATCAGAAATGTATTTCTGACCAGGTATTGGTATTAACCATTTTTTAAGTGTAGAAAATATCCTCTTAGAAATATTTTTATGAAAATCCTTATAAAATATTAGCACATAGTATTCAACAACATATTAAGAAGATTGGACATATATAATGACCAAGTTGGTTTTATCCCATGGTTGTAACAATGGCTTACCATACACAAATCAGTAAATATAATTCACCACATAAAAAGAACTAAGGATAAAAATCACATAGTCATATCAATAGATGAAGATAAAATTCAATACTCATTTATGATAAAACCTGAAGAAACTAGGGATAGAAGGAACCAACCTCAACATCATAAAGATTATAAACAATAAATCCAAAAGTAATATCATAGTGAATGGGAGAAAACACAAAATATTTCCTTTAAAATACAGAACAAGAGAACTATGTCCACTCTCATCACTTCTATTCAATATAGTACTAGAAATTCTAGCCAGAGCAATTCAGGCAAGAGATCCCCATCAAAATACCTATGACAATCTTCACAGAACTAGAAAAACAGTCCTAAAATTAATTTGGAAAAATAAGTGACCCAAAATAGCCAAAACAATTATAAGCCAAAAATGCAATGTTAAAGGCATCACAATATCTGATGTCAAATTATACTACAGATCAATAGCAACAAAATCTGCATGATAATAAAAACTGATTACACCAATGAATAGAATATAAGACAGAGACAAAACCACACATATAGTCAGCCGATCCTTGACAAAGGTGCCAGAAACATACATTGGAAAAAAGATAGCCTTTTAAACAAACAGTTCTAGGAAAACTGGTTATTTTTTCTAGATATTTATCTCTCACCCTGCACAAAAGTCAACCCAAAATGTATCTAAGACCTAGGAGTTAGATCTGAAACTGCAACTCCTATAAGAAAACATAGGGTCAACACTCCAACATACAGGCAAGGACTTTCTCAAGAGGACCCCTAAAATTCAGGAAAGAGTTAATTAATGGAATGGCATTAAATTAAAAGGCTTCTGCACAGCAAATGAAACAAATGAGAATGAGAAGAAAGAACCACAGAAATGGGAGAAAATCTTTGCTAGCTACTCTTCTGACAGAGAATGAATATCCAGAATATATAAAAAACTAAAAAAATGTAACACCAAAAAATCAAATGACCCAATTAACAAACGGGCAAATATACTAAACAGATATTCCTCAAAATAAGAAATCTAAATGGTCAACAAATATATGAAAATATGTTTGATATCATTAGCTATTAAAGAAATGCAAATCAAAACTACACTGAGATTTCATCTTACTCTAGTTAGAATGGCATTTATCAAGAATACAAACAATAATAAATGCTGGAGAGAATATGGTGGAGAAGGAACTCTTTTATACTGTTGGTGGGACTATAAATTAGTACAACCACTATAGAAATAAGTATGGATATTCCCCAAAAGATTAGGGATGGAACCACCATACAACCCAACTGTATCACTCCTCAGTATTTACCCTAAAGAAATAAAGTTGTCATACTACAGCAATACATGTGTACTCATGTTTAGAGTAGCACAATTCACAAGAGCCAAACTATGGAGCCAGCATAGGTGTCTATTAATGGATGAATGGATAAAGAAAAACGTGATACATATACACACAGTGGAGTTTTATTCACCCATAAAGAAGAATGAAATTATGTCATCTGAAGGAAAATAGATGGAACTTGAGAACATTATGTTAAGCAAAATAAGTCCAACTCAGAAAGTCAAGAGTCATAATGTTTTCTTTCATATATGAAAGTCAGAGAGAAAAAAGGGAAAGAGAAGTGGGAGAGAGATCTCATGAAGAATGAAGGGAGAGCAGTAGAGAAAAGTGATCAGGGGGAAGGAGGAGAGGAGGAAATATGAAAATAGTGGGAATGATATTGGCCAAATTATATTGTTATATTATGTGCATTTATGAATATGTAACAATGAATCCCACTTTATGTCAAATTATAATGCACAAAAAATATAGAAATATTTTCATGAAATAATTATCATAAATTTCAGTTAAGTAAGCAAACTTAAGAAGGTTAATACTTGTTGTAAGTTACAAATTTCCAAATTCAGGGTTGATCTATAAATCAAATTTTTTAAATTCTAGAGTTATAAGATTCTAATAAATATTAGAACAGGAGAAACTATTTTACTTCAAAATTATATGTTTTAAAATTGGACTGAATATTAAATCAAGAGTTCTAAGAGTTTTATGGACTTTAGTGGTTGACCAGAGAATTCACTGGAAATAAACAAACAAACAAAAAAAACCCCACATTGATGTATATATTTGCATTTCTCCATAGTCCCATATATTTCATCAAATTCTTAAATTGGTGGGGCTGGGGTTGTGGCTGGGGTGGAGCGCTCGCCTCACACATGAGAGACCCTGAGTTCGATCCTCAGCACCACATCAAAATGAATAGACAAAATAAAGATATTGTGTCCATGTATAACTGAAAAAAATTTTTTAAAATATTTTAAAAATTCTTAAATTGGTTAATAACCTTAAAAGTTTAAAAACTACTAACTTGGTTAATATGAAATCAAAATTAAAAAAAAAAAAAAACTTTCAAAGCTCACCTAGTTTCTCTTGGAGCCCAGACCGACAATCTGGCCCTCTGACTACCACCAATACCCAACTTTGGGCATCTTGGTCCCAAGCAGCGAGTCTTACTTATCATTAATCCAGGATATTCATGCCTGATTACAAGTCTTGTACTTCATCTTATCCCCAGAGATCCTACAATAAGAAACAGGGAATACTCTCAGGTTCAAAAAGGACAGGTTACATTTTATTCACTCCTGTATCTACCATACCCATCCCATGGCTTGGTGACCAACAGACACTTTTGGAAAGGAAAGGAAGATCTCCAGATCCACCCTTCTGTTAACTCACATGAATATTACACCACTCCTTTGAGTTTCAGTTTCCCCATTTATAAAGTAAGTTTGAAATTAGAACCTTCCTCATGAGACTGTTTCAAGGATAAAATGAATAACATGCAATTACATTTTGTGAATCCTTCCTCATCCTACCAACATAACTATGGAGAAAATGGAAAGGAGTTTTTCTGTGTGGCAACTTCTCAAATGTGCCTATTTATTATCAATATTTTGATAGCTAAAAGTAATGCCAACTTTCTCACTATGATAGTCTTCTAGTCATTAAAGTAAGTGATCTAAATTGCAAGCTATTTCAGGGATCTCAGTAAAGATATTTTTATTTCAAATGAAAGAAAAAGCAACAACAAAACAATGTGCCCTAAGTAGTTTCCTTTTTTCCTGAATTGGTTCTGGTGCTCACTACTGACCTAAAGCACTCAGCAATAAATCATGACTCTTCTACAATCTTCATTCTTGACATCAAACATTTGTTTGCTTCAGCAGCTGGTATCAAAAGAACTGCTCCTAATGTAACATATGGAACTATTAGCTTCCTTATACATTAACTCTTCAGGATTTGACACTAAAACACTCTAATTTCTGTAGACAACCAAGAAAATGAAAAAGCTGGAAAAGGACACAGCCACGTGGAAAGCCCGATTTGAGAACTGTAACAAAGCCCTATTGGACATGATTGAAGAGGTGAGCGGGTTTTTCTCTTAGCTTTTATCACCTCCAACTTCGAAGATATTCATCTTAGAATATAATTATAGCGTAACAATACAAATTATTATGTTTTAATAAAGAGCTAAATTTTGGGGGATGTAACATGTAAAATTGTAATAAAAATAATAAAGGCAAAGGTCATTTAGGAGCCAGTCCTGACTCAAAAAAAAAAAAAAGTTTATACCTTAAGTCACACATTTATTGATTCAAAAGATTTCCCCAGAACAGCATCATGCCTGCTAGACTATGAGTAACTTAAAGTGGGATGTGTCTTATTTGCTTTTGTATTTCCCCAGTACCTGCACATAACAAGTATAGATGAATTAATTGATTTGAGAAGACAGTGGGGCTCAAGCACCCTGAATGTGCCATTTTAAACAGATATGGAGAAGTATTTTTTTAATTCCTACAACAGGCATTTAAATCCTGATATTATGCCAGGATCTGAGCAGGTTTTTCAACTTTAAAGGTAAAAGATATATGGGCCCAGACCTGACAAGCAGAGCTTACAGGTGAAACTTTCTCCATATTAACAATTTAAAAACCATCTTCAAGGAACAGAGTAGCTCAAAGCCAGGAGTAAGGAGTTAGTTGATTAGGAACATGTTCCTACAAACATGCCACCATTTCTAGAGAAAGGAAAAACTGAATAGTTTAAGCAGTCAGCATCATGAATTAGTGTGTGGTGAGTTTCTATGGTTATATTACTGTTCTAACAATTCATCACAAATTGCAACCAATTCCAAAGATTTATGTTTACTATTCATCAACATAAATCGAATGGTTGCCAGGATTAGACTATAGCAGTTTATCTATAGAATAGATAAGACACCCCTGAGGGCGAAATCCCAATTGATCTCATTCATTTCACCACAGGCTTTGGCTTACACTTTCTAAGTCTCAAAAGCAGAAAATTCATCTATTTTAAGATCTGAGAGGCTCTAGCCTCAGTAGAAACAAGGCTTGCCATCTTTCTTTCCCAAAAAACAGTCCATAGTGGTTAAAATTCTACCAGTGTCTAGCTCATAATGCAAAAAATAGTGAAGACCCTGAACCAGTGTCTGTTCAGCCATCACTCTATGGCCAGGCCCCAAGGCCTAGTGGATACTAATTCCAGGACAAATGGGTTTGTTTCCGGAGAGCCTGTGGAAATTTTGCTTTTCATGTCGTATTGTGTGTTTTCAAATCACAGAAAGCACTGAGAGCTAAGGAATATGAGTGTTTCGTGATGAAAATCGGGAGGCTGGAGAATCTCTGTCGCGCTTTACAAGAAGAGAGAAACGAACTCTATAAAAAAATCAGAGAAGCCAAAGTGTCTGAACAGGAGGACCAAAGTCAGCATAGTTCCGACGAAGAGCCAGAGGCAAATGTCTCTGTGGACAGAGAGATAGATGCAGAGGAGGCCAACAGTGTTCAAAACGCTGTGGCAAACCTGGCTGCAGCCTTCCAGGTAATTAAGCGTCCGGAGTCCAGCCTCCAGCAGTCGGAGGCATTGCCCCCAGCACTGGGCGGGCCTCGGGGCAGCGGTGGCTCCGCCCCCAGGGAGCTGGAAGCGCTCCCTCCGCTCCTTCTCGGGGGTTCAACTGACCCGCGGCCTCCTCCAGTCCCTCAGGCTGAGGCCCTAGGAGGTGAGGAGGCAAAGCCTGCCTCTGAGGTCAGTAATCCCTTGACCCAGGCGGGAGCAGAGCCCCGAGCTCAGAGTCTCTCCGAGGAGCCTCAGGCTGCTGAGCTGCCCCGGAAATCAGAGGTCGGAGTTTCCGGTCAGGCCTCACAGGCCGCATCCGAGGCCTCCCCTTGCGGGGTGGAAGCAGAGGGTTCCGCTCCACCACCTCCAGCCAAGGTGCAAGCTCCAGCAGGGCCGCCTAGGTGTGAGCCCAGCGAGCAGCCCCTGCCAGGAGCCTCAAAGGAGCTGGGCCCCGAGGCCCCGGCCCAATTCCAGCTGCCCATGGTGGCCGACACCAACCTGGAACCAGTAGACTGAGCCTCTTCGGCCCTTTCTTTCCGACCTTACATCTTCACCATATCCCACTGTCTCTGAAAGAGGCATTAAGGGTTAGAGATGGCAAATGGAGCAGTTAGGATCAAGACATTTTAATATGCAGAACACATTCAGCCTTTGCTGTTTGTTCTCAATTTATTACTGATGTGGAGCTTTTCTATTTAATACTGAGTGTTAATTTTTCCCAAATGGCAGCAAAACATACCATTAGTAAATTTATATTGTTTCCCTATTAAGATGTTACATAATTCAATTTATTTAGTGAACAGGAAGATTTGGTGTTTAAAGACTCCCACTAAAAGATCTAAATATTGACAATGTGAGGTTATATTTATTGCTACGTATAGTGCAAATTCCTTAGTAATTAGTGGATGTCCAGGTTCCATTTAAACTATGTGTACATAAATTCATATATAAATGTGTGATTATATACATATGTGTTCATACATACACATCTATATATTTTATATAAATGTATATGTTACACATGTATTTCACCCCTTAAGGATTTCCCCCTATGCAAATTATGTAGATGCTAATCAAAAAATTCTCTTATTTGCACTTGGGACTACAGTAGATTCAGAACATAGATCTTTAGGTCATCATTACTGTTGGTCAAAAACAACTAATCCTATGTTAGATCCATAAGTTCAACCAACTGATCAAATGACAGAATAGTGGTTGTGCAGAGTGCATTGACTCAAAGATGATCACAAGAGACCCCAACAGCAAAGGGAAAGAATCACAACTGTGGGTGGTTCATCTCTCCCAGCTGCTTCTCCTAGAATCCTCAGCCAGCTGCCTCACCCTCCTGCAACACACACACACCAGGTGGGGAGGCAACCCTCTCCTGACTAACTGCAAGAAAAGGGTTGGAAATAGGAAAAGGAGCTAGGAATGAGGGGTGATGTTATCTCAGACTGAGGAGAGACTGTGCCCTGGTCCTTTTCCCCACTACTGTTTCAAGACAGAATATTCCCTTCTTGGCTGTCTCAGACCCATTGTATATTTTCAAAGCATCTGTTCCTTCCTTCTAATTCCCTCTATTGTAGCAGAAAATTCTGCCTAGCCTTCATCTCAACCAATGCTAAATGAAACTATTATTTTTCTAAGACAAAAATCCACACAGGATTTATAAATATGAGTGATGAGGCTTAAGAGCCAATGCATTTTCTGCTTTGAAGGGTTTTCAGCAACAATGAAGTAAGAAAGAGAAAGGAAGGGAGGAAGAAGGAAGAGAAGGAAAGGGAGAGACTTCAGGGAGGAAAGAAAGATGTCTAACCCATTCCTACCTTCAGAGTTAAACTCAAGAGGAAAAATGGATAAAAACAGGATTCTCTACTACTCATCCAGGAACTCATTCTTCACTATCACATATGGCTGTTTGCCAAAGCCCACAAAGAGCTTGTAAGCTGCAGCCATATGTTACAAGAATTGTAAACTGCATAAAAAATTGTTTGAAGTAGACAGTGAGGGTAATAACAGAAATGCTAGTCAGGGATAGAAAAATCAGGAGAAAAGCATGTTGCTATTTGAGAACCCATGTGCTTTTAAAGGCTTAGAATATTAAAACCACAGGGGTATCCAGCCAAATTCAACATTTTACTAGAAATTAAACATGCATTTAATTCAGAGCCAAATATTCACCATAACAATCCAGGAGGGTCTTTCCTTTCCATCTGCTTACAGAGACTGAACTTCCAAGAACAGAGTAAGATCAGATAGTTACAGAAAAATCTCAGTCTGAATGTTTAGCAAAAGAAATAGACAGATGTGCCAAAATCATCAAATATTCTAAAACATCCAAAGTTCATTATTTTCATCCACAAGGTTTTCATAGTAACATTTTACTCACTATTGTGTATATATCAAGCAGAGTTTCAAATATAATAACTTGCTGGAAATATGTAATGCTTAATATAGGCTTTGGGAGAATTATTTTAATATTCAAAGAATGTCTTATTATAGATCTTTGTGTTAGAATGTGGTCTTACTAATCATAACAATAATTCATAAGATATGAAAGCAGAATAAATTCCTATTCTTTATTAACTTAATGTAACTATTTTTAGAGATGCGCATCTACTTTCTAGAAATGCAAGAGTCATTGGTGTTTTCTAAATCAAATTGCATAATTTATATGTGTATTAAAAATGTATTTCTCTTCCCAAATTTTCTAGTGGTGTTTTTTTTTTAAATTTTCATTGTTTTTTTTTCCTTTTTGTTATTTCTATGTTTTGATAAAACCTCACAAAAATTATGCTTTTAACTTATTCTTGGTTGAGTTTGGGGTCTCTGAGTAAAATTCCTGAAACATTTTACTTTGAAAACATAGGGAGGAGAAAGTGACATACACACACATGTTGAGAGAGAGAGTCAAATAAACCTCTATACTTTATAAAATTATTAAGTCTCAGGTGTTTTGTTATAGAAACATAAAACTAACTAAAACACCAGTGCTAATGAGAGAACAAAAACCAGATTCCTTTGCCTGGTCAGCCAGCTGATGGGGGACAATTTTCAAGTGGCCAATGTGTTTTTCTTCAGAACCATTCTTCCCATGAGACCATGTTTCCACAGTTTCTCTGCCATGTGTCCTCTCAGAAATACTCTTGAAAAAAAAAGGGAGAGAGTAAGATGTTGACTCTTTTTTTCCTCTCTCTGATTCTGACTGCTCAAAAAAATTTTTTCTAACAAGACCAAAAGAGACCCAGATGTTCTGCCTTTTGATTACTTTCTTCCTCTCAGCCCATATTGATCTGGAATGGACTTCCTGAGCCAAGAATTTCCTGACTGCTTTGAGGATTGGTTAGCAAGAACAAGGGTGAAGTTGAACTAGTTCTTATAGATACACATTTTTTAATAGCCCCCTGTTTTATGTGTTTATTGCAAAACTGCTTTTCAGTAAGACTAACAAGGAAAAGAAGAGAGATTGCTTCAGGAAAATCTCCTCAGCCCTTTCCTTTGTAACCAGTAGTTAATCATAGTATTTAGGGAAAACAAAATAAAGTATCAAAAATTTTGTGAAGGAAGATCCAAAATAAGAATTATGCCTCTCAGGAACTGGGACCAAAGACAGAGCAGGCCCAGCAGCCTGCTGAGGGGCAGAGCCGCCCCCCCACCCCCCTCGCCTGCCAGGTAGGGGAAGGGTGACCACCGAC